GTAGGAAAATTTCTTAGCGCGCCATGGGAAAATTATGAGAGCAACGAACGAGGAAAGGAACGAAGCTCGAGCGATTCCGTAAACAAGATGATCGCTTCCGGCGTCGGGTTCACAGAGGCTACGGCGCGGAACTGAGCACCCAAGAGGAGTCATCTTTCCCAAAGGACAAACAACACGTGTTGACCACGTGGTCCCTCCTGTGGGTCGAAAGCCTACAGCGTTTAAATTTCATCTAATCGTAAAACATGGAAAGAGTAACAGGAGCGAGGAAGAATTTCATCGAGCACAGTGTCTCTACAGTTTCCTTACTTCTCGAAGCTTTTCGAAATCGTAATCGTGCCATAATAATTTGTGAATATTTGCACGACCTGGTATGAGCCTTGCTAAAACGTTCCTCAAACAGGAGGGAATTAAAATAGGTATTAACGACAGAGGACACCGAGTCTCGTTCGTTTTCCAGTTACTTCGATTTCCAATGATCGACGACCGTTGGTACGTTCCCAAAAAGTGATAGAGGTAGAGGAAAATCGGAGTCGCAATCTTATCACGAGCAGACTGCTGCGACGAGTGCTCGGTTCGAGTCGCATGACAAACACGAATATCTGTGTGACTCGACGGTCTGAGAACACACGCGCATTATGTTTATTCGGAGGTGATAAACGTTCGACCGCCATTCACAAGTCGGTAGACTGTCGATCGCGCCGGAAACATCACGTAAGAGCGATTTATGGCCGAAGAAATACTTTCGTGATCCCATCCGCGGTAGCTCGCACGTGTTCCCCATAAGAATTCGATCGGTCGCGACAATGGCTACCTCGATGTCTTCCTTCGCGAGAACAAACGAACTTCTAATTCGCTGCTCGTGTAAACTTCCACGAAACCCGTCGAGAACAGAGCTGACGTTTCCATCGGGAGAATAGAGGCGCCATTGCTCGTGGACGCCAAAAGTAAGGGTGAATTCTAATTTAACCCTTTGCACTGACGATTTTTCAGCTAAGGAGTAGTAGGAGTTGAAAGATTTTCTGCTATAAAGATGATGATTTGATTTCGATACCTCGCACACCGTTACATTATCTTAAATTTGCTACACTTTCCGCTCAGGCGGCAGCGAGTGAGCACTATATGCCGAATGCTCAAGTATGCCGAAGACTATGAACAGATTACTTTGTTTCACTTTGTCGTTTGGACTGTGAGAATGGTGCAGACAATGCACAAATATACACGAATTATAAACAGAAGATAATGGGGTGGGAAATGCCAAAAAGGCAAAAGTCACCTCGAGAGGATCAGTCAGAAAAAGCCACGGTAGTGTAAAGATTTACTTCGGCAGAGGAAACTTAGTTTTTGCGATATATTAATTGCTATTAATAATTTAACCCTTGACAATGCCAGTCTCATGCACCGATGTCGACCAAACTAAAAGTTCGCTGTCAGTCCCCAGAATCCACGTCGTCCAAACGAAAAAGCTACTGTCAATCCCCAGGGAATGACTTAGCATTCAACGTGTTAATTAATATCGATCTTCGAAATTTGATTAAATGGCGACTGAAGGGCGTCTCCCGAGTGCAAAGGGTTAAAAGAATTCGCACCGCTATTTATTCCGTCTTCACCTCTGTTCACCTTAGACTATTTATACTATTTTATCAGTTTGGTCGTATCTATTTTACTGCTTCGCATGACTGCCTATACAATAAAGATAAACCCAACGACTCCGATCTCTTATTTACCGTGACTTCGCATCGGTATTTCGAAACTCGAATGGTTCCCGCGGATTTTGGCCGACATTACCGATGTGTCGTATAATCGACTCACGACAACCTGTCCTTCCACGGAGCTTCCTCTAATTTCGATTTCCAGGCGGTCTTTTTGCGATACCATAACGGAGAACAATAGACGTCGTGGCAAGCGGCCATGACGAAAGCAGCGCGGTCTATCGTTGATTAAAAGCTAGCCACGTTCGCAGAATTTGCTCATCGGCATCGCGTGTGTTTCGACTGGCAGAAAATAGCTCGGTCCCCTGGCTCGAACTAAGGACCGGCGGCGCGCCATTGTCGCCGCGGTTGATTTTTCACTTTCGCAATCATTCGCGGTTGACACGGCGGCAATTCGCTCCACGCGCGGACTCTTACGCGTGCACCTCTGTGCGATAATGGCGAGGAATACAACATTGTCGGGATAGGTACGGCCGTACGTTACAAACGGTACCGGAACTCTTGTCGACATCGAGACCCTTTTGTCGACCGCGTATCTGGATCGTTCGAAACGTTTGATAGATCGCGATAAACAGCGATAAATGGCGGAAAGGGAGGTCAACGGGAGCACCGAGATTTCACTCGAGGAGCTTCCATTTTACACTGCGAGTTAGCATTAAAAATAGCAGATAACATCTCGTGGATCGGTGAACGATAAGATTTTTCGTGTATCTCGCGTGAGGCCAATTTCCAATTTCAATCCGTGTACAGTAAGAATCGATAGATCATTGGGTAATTAACCCCCTCGATAATTTCTAAGCGACTGCTAAATATTTTCGTAGACGAGTGATCCTATTCGTAGGAAATTATAGACTCGAAGCTAAAGTCGTTGGTGGAGTGTTTATTATCGTAGCCATATCGCGCGTAAACACTCCGAAAATAAAGTTAGCCGTGAAAATCTCAATGACAAGGATCGGATCTCTAGAGACGTGGTTCCTAAAAATATTCAAACCTCGAATGCAAATTTTCCTGGGTGCGATCGGTGGATCCAGGAAGGGGGAGTATTCGCGCGTGCGCCCGCGCGCAACACGAGGAATCACGGTTAACGCGTGCAGATTTAATCGGCAGGGAATTCCAAGAGGATGATGATCCTCGATGATGTCACTGCGACATTGAGCGGAATCGTAATCAGGATTTCGCCTTCGAGAGTCGCGCATACTCGCCGAACGAGTCGGCAGATACCGATCGGCAGTTCGATAAATCGACCGATTACGAACCACTACTACCGTTTGTCGTTGCTGAGCACTATGCAGCGACCAGCCAGCAACTCTCTTCGACTCGTTTAGAGGCTACTCGCGGCTGGCTGCGTCGCAAACAACGCGATTCTTTTTGCTCCACCGATACGCCCGGTTATTTTCTAATATTTTTCACGCTAACTCGATCCAACGGCACATCGATTGCCTTTTTCCCAGCGAAGCAGGAAATTCTCAGCGAAGGAAATATGTCGTTTACATAAATCTCGACGTGTTTTGGGAGCGGGTTCGATGAAAGAAAGATCGGTTTACCGATATCTGTCCCGCTTCGGTGTGTTTCGGGGGCGGTAATTGTTGAGAACATAATCGTTGCCGAATAACGAACGATTTACGAAACTTGGCAGACGTATAATTTTCTTTATCGCGAGAAAGTTGATATTAGACGTTTAAATAGTCTGATCTCGTTAGTTCGAAGATGAGCGACGATACAGCCTATATTTCAGATAAATATCGTCATGGCAACGAAACGGATCGTGATCGGGATTTTTAGCGTGAATCGAGTGCGTTTCAAAATCGATGATAATACGAATCAACAGAAGTGACCCAATTAGAGAGCTTAGTATAAACTGAGTATACTTGGTATTTTCATAACGCTGCGATGCTAAGCGTTACAGAGTCATGTTTTGACTATGACTGTTGCCGTTACGAAGGATAATTATACGACTGCAGTAAAATTAGAATTTGCCATTGTTCGAATAATAATGAACGCTGTTATACAACCATGCTGACTCTTTTTAATGCAACGGCATTACTCGACAGGTTCATTTTTGCGTATCGCATTTCGACGTATACCTGTTTCAAAATTATTAATTTGCAACACAAAACGTAAAATAAATAAAATACGTGGCGAAGTGTTTGGAATAAAATAATAAAATCGATAACGAGTAACGATAACAATAACAATTATAATTTGTATAAATAGCAGGAAACAATATTTCGAGCTATATATGAGTAAACTATTTATACTAATGTCACTGTGCGTGTACTACATTAGGATGATTCACGGACGGATTAAAGGGAATTCCGATTACAACGTATCGCCACCATGATAACCATCGATAGCCTAATTCGCGATGATTTTCAGTGACAATTTTAGACAACTTATCGACAGGGTATTGTTAACAGCTGTTATACAGCGCAACGGTTGTTTCGATTAATGAATAAGTTATGTCACTTGTAATTTATAACGCCGATTTTATCGCGATAGTAATATTCACGTAACCCCAATGTCAAGTGATAACCGAGCCAGCGATAAGAGTAACACAGCGATCGCTATCTAGGATAACGATCGAAAATCGCTTCGAGTGGCAAACGTAAATAAAACTGAAATTGCAGCGCGCAATTAAGAAACAAAAAAAAGAAGAAGAAAAAGAAAATATATTCGAAACATTCGAAATAAATCGTTTCATAACCCGGGTTAGGTCTGGGATAAGTCAATACGATTATCGACGTCACTTTCGACATTCAACAGAACCACGTTTGACAGCTCGACGCATAAAACGTGCATGCCTTTCGAACCGTTTGATAAAGTCGTCCTATGGTAAACAAATATTATCCCCATTTCAACTTCCCCCCATCCACGTCAAAACAACTGACGCTCGCCGTTCACTTGCATTTCGGAGCCTATCAACCATACGTAATTGTTCGAATTATTATATATATATTTTATGCATCGAGAAAACGAAATAATTTTATCAATTTAATATGTATCGCATAATTGGGAAGAAAAATAATATTTTACGCATCGTTACAAGGTAGTCCACGTTATATTTACAATATTACGCGATGCGCAGAAACCAGCGCAAACGATGCACCCATCGGCAAACAAATGTTTTTTAGGAACGCTAATAGATGTCAATGGAAATATCAAAAACGCAATTATTGAAATAAATACGAATATCTGGGAACGTTATTTCTACGTAAAACTACGCATAGCCTTTGGACAAACACACGAATAACAATAACGATAGCCAAAATGTCGAAATATGTTTCTAACCTGGAATTTTCGTGCAGGCAGCTTCGCCTCTCAGAAGCACGGCGTCGTCGACAGGACGGCATGCATCCACGTGTTCGATCGCAAGGTTAAATCCACTTGTACAAACGTGCCGCAAGACACGCTACAATGTGCCACCCGCCGTGTGTTCCACGGCCACGAGAAATATAGCCACCGATAACTAGGATTTTTCACTGAGAAAACTGCGTCGGATCTGTCCGCGAGAATGAGACGCGACCGCGAGACACCGGGGAATCGCGCGGAATTCGAAATTCAGCTCCGTAGTGGCGTGAGTGTAGCACGTGGCGTTCGGCGTTGTTACACTTTTCAAACTCGCGATGGCGGATCGTCTCGATGTTTCTTCGTTTACACGCGCTTCGACCACGACCTTTGGTGCGACAGGCGTACCGTAACGACAAACTGTATTCGTCGATAAAGTCGCAATGTTGTCACAACACCGAACGCTGGTATCCTTGGACGAGCTGTTCCGAAATCTGCTGCCCCGTTTGTTTTTCTCCGTGATTCCGTTGACCGTATTGCGATTCTAGAGCGTCACCGAGTCAATGATCCTCTGGACACGTCCACGCGTAAGTACACTTAATCCAATATAATCCAGCGGGTTGCACGTTGTATCAAACTCACGCGTTCGGAAGGGAACGAAACGAAACGAGACGCTGCGCGCGCACTAGGAAAAACTTCCATAAGAGAACCGTCTGGCACGACCGCCGCGGCGACACTGAGAAACGACGACGACGTTCGGCACTGCTTGCTGCTCGCTCGGCACGCTACTACTACGCGGCAGGCGGCAAGCCGACCATACGAGCGCTCTACCCCTCTTTCTTTCTCTCTCGCGCCTTCTTTCACTCCCCTATCGCGTTCTTCTTCTACGCGGTTTCTCCGTCCCTTTTCCACCGTTCCTCTTCTTTCCAGCCTCTCTACTCTTTCCGTCCGTTCCTCTTTTTTCCCGTGCTTTTCTTAGCCCCCTCCTAACCCCTCCCACCTTTCCCGCCAAGGTATTTGTTACTTTCCTCCGTTTTTACCGTTCCATCTACCCATCTTCCTCTAATCTCTCTTTGTAACAACGGTTCTCGCTCGCTTCCTTCCGCCGCTTCTCTTCTTCTCGTGCCTTCGTGTTTTCTCCTCGTCTTCCTCTCCCTTTCTGAACCTTGCTCCATTCTTCCCTCCTCACCCCTCCTTCTCCTCCCCTTTTTTCCCCTTTGCATTTTTTCTCTCGCTCCCGCGGCCTATCTCTCTCCCACGCTCCCTTATCTCCGTCCTTATCCGCCTGTCCCTCGTCGTCCCGTTCTGTCCCGGTCGTCGCGACGCCCTCTCGCTCTCTCCCGCCGGCACGCTACCTGGGAGAGACGAGGAGCTGCCAAAGCAACGACCAACCGCCGACTCGGGCGGGAACTCGTCAATGCGATACGTGTATGCGTCCCTCGCTGCAACTCTCGCGCGGTTTGTCCCGTCCTGCACGCATAAGCACGCGCGTGAGCGCGTGAGCGCGTGAGCGCGTACGCTACCGTCGTATTAGTGCACGTTACACCCGGGCGTGGGTGTCCGCCGACCAACGAGAGGCGCCGGCTTTTCCACATGCGCCGAAACCTTTCCACGACACCGAGTTTTCTTCGCTGACGAGCAGGCTTCGCGCTAACTCTGCGCTAGTTCCATCCTAGCTCCGTTTATTGTTCCTCCCACTCCCGCTGGCCACGTATACTTACCCTCTCGAGTATTTCGCCTCCCAACCGTGGAATGCGTCGAGGTTGTCGAACCTCCGATTGCGCGCTGGACAATCTCCTCCCCGCGTATTTTCCAGGGTAAACGAATCGATCGGCCTAGGCCGGAAGATCCAATTTACCGCCTAGTCTCTGTTACCTGTAACAAAAACCGATCTTTCGAGTACTCGTACAATAGCCACTAGGTCACAGCAACGTCGGGCGTACGTACTGCCAGCTATGCGAACCACGCAAGCCGCGTTGCAGCTCGATAAACAGTGGAGCAGCGATTAAAATGGTACCTCTCGCGGTTGCAAGATAAGGCGAGATGCCTTAAAAGCGAACGCTATTTCCCTATACACCGCGCGACGCAGAGCCTCGGAAAATTTATCGTATCGCGGCCGATCGGCGGAATGCAAGGATGTTGGTGGCACCGTTGCGATAGAATGTTTCGTCCTCGAAACGTACAAGCCTCTGTCCTTGGGACCGAGAATCCTGGGACATTAATTTCGTCGTGGATGTATCATACCGGGGAACACTCGTCTTCTCCGCTCTCAGCTGTTTCCTTAAGACGCTCCGTGTACGCACACCTATGCACGTCTTTTCCCTATCTCGAGTGAATAGACCACGGCACGATGTGTCGCCTCACGGTCTACCACTCCAACGGGTTCCCGCCTTGCACTCCGCGATGTTTCGTAGGCGAAACATGGGGTCACGGCACTCGAGTAACTTCGCTTTGAACCTGTGTTGGTGCTAATAGCCTGTATTCGCGTTAACTCGAACGATTTCGACTTAACCGGACAATGAACCGATGTCGGAATACATTTGCCAAATTGGCAGACGTTATTGTCTCCGGACGACGAGCTTTCAGTCGTTCTGTCTCATCCGCTTTGCGATCTTCTAGCTCGTGCACAGTACGATAGAGGAGGTTCGAAATGGCCGTCGATAGAGGTATTATTGCGAGTAGGGTGAACGAATATTCGATTTCTGTCGGATTCTCTAATTTATTCGCGTTTTCTGGCTGGGCTGTAATCACGGTAAAATAGGAGCAGTTGAACGTATACCTGCAGGTGCTTTGAATTCTTCGAAGGAACGCCCATGGAAGTTGGCGGATGCATCGCGACGAGTATCATAGGGCTCCATTTTTAGAAATTAATGGCACGCGTTACTCTCGGGTGGTCCTAGCGCCACTTGACGGTCATGAAAAGCACGTGAGATTTCGGTCCATTTGAAGGACCCTCGAGGCGGTCGGCGCGTTAGGGGGAACACGAAGAAAGAGGAAATAAGCGACACCCGAACTGTACGAACTACATGGACGACGGTGTGGTTGGTCCGAGTCAAAGGAGCGATGGTCACACCCACGCAACGCGCGTGTTAGTAGACAGATATGGATATAATAAAAAGATAGCGTTTGTAGTACTCATGGGAAAGTCGCGATGTGTAATATTCGCGGGACCATTCCGACGACGTGTATCTCTTCGTGGAACTTCAACGTTTGTCTGAAACGCATTCCTCGCGCGGACGCTTCTTATCTCGAATTTGTTTACGCAATTTTTCGCCCGTTCATTCGCGTACCTTACAACGTGCTCGCACTCAGAAAAGAGGAAAATACAAAGTTGGGAGGGATATCTAAATTTAGTATACGCGAATGATAATAATTGTGGCGGTACCATGAAATTACCGTCATTTTTTTGGATTTAAGATACTATAATATAAGCATAGGACGCGCGGGGATGTTAAATCTACCTGGTACGAAGTAGAAGCGAAGAAAAAGAACATAATTTTAGAGTTTGTTTCTCGTCGAGAAGAAAATAACGGAAGAATATTAATATTACTGCACTTGGTTGAAAATTTTTCAAGCGTAGCATAATTGAAAACCTATCTAAAGAATTGTCAATATTAGTCTTGCTAAAAGCAGTTGCGCGTTTACGGGGACTGCAAAAATAAAATATCCGAAACAAGCCACTTTGACATGTTTGCTAGTTTCGGTGTTAATTCCATTCCGCCAACGTATGCCTGAGCAAATAGATTCCTACGTAAAGGCAGATTTTTTCGTAGACCTGGCACGAGCGAATTATCGAGTTCATCGATCGAAGGATTACCGCCTGAAGATACGAAAAGATAGCAGCGTTTGAATGTAAATTGAATTAAAAGCAGCAGACACGGTATCACTTACGCATCGGCGGTTATGATCGGCGCAATAAAAGGAGCAACGTTAAAATTTATTACGCGGAGCGTGGCGCGAAAAGCCGTCGATTGGATGCATTCTGGACTAGATGAAGTAATAACGGGGCAATTTCGTCGGCATGCAACGACGAGTCGACGTTGCACAATACGGTACGAGGCTGTTGGCAAAAAAGGACCGCGTTAAGATATCGAGTGACCGTCTTCCCAGCACGTGAACCTCTTCAGCTACGTACGTACGCCATGAAATTGCGAAACGGAACGACAAAACGATGAAGCTTTATGGCGTGATGTTTTATAGCGATTTCTTTCGTCCGCGTGAACCGCGGAGGATCGCGTGACGAACTCAAAGCAAACGAGCGCGGCGGTTTCTTTTGCGGCCCGAGTCGTACGGTTTAATTTTAATTCGCCGAGGGTGATATCACGAGCGCCCGCATGCCTTTCCATTAATCTCAATTACGGGGCAATTAAAAGCAGTTAACGAAAGTGGGGTCGTGAACCGGTGGATGCGCCCACCTTTGCTAACCGGTCCCGTCTCTCCCCTGCTACCCCCTTTTATCCACCGTTTATCTCCCTTCAACGCGACCGATTGATGACACACTGCTGGACCCGTCACCGACACGATTTATCGAGTATTAACTATTTTATTACTATGTACCGCGCCGCTCGTTCTCCGTTAATGCCCGACTCTCTAGATCGTGGGAATCTTAATCGGAATTTTCACTTTGTACGCTTTTTCCCAGTGCTTCGCGTGGTCGAAACGTCGCCGTTGAGAAATCGGCCAGAGATCGTTAAAAGTTAATCATTCTTACGAGTTTGGAATACGAATTATTCAAGGGAGGTTCGAGGGTACCCAGCAGCTCGCCATATGGATCGAGACTAGTTTCCCTTGTTGCAAAAATGAATTAATATAGCAGACACTCATTCGTAGCACAGTTCTATTTAAACTTAAATTCCCCTAATTATAGCTGAAGATACGACAACGAAGCTTACGTCGGTCTCCTCGAGCAAAAAATTTGCTCCACTTATGAAAAATCGTATCTGAAACGAGAATAGAAATACGTTAATACCACAATGGAGAAGACGATACGATGCTACGTGCCTCTAAATCGTTCAAAGTCCTTCGACTTCGTGATTTCATCGTATGATAGAGTCTCCATCGAGACGTCGAGGTTCAGTGTCTCATAGTTGCATAAATAACCGAATTTTTCAATAGCACGGAACAATAATCGCGCACGACGAACGTTAATGACAAATATCGCGAGCAACCAGTGAGAAATGTCGGTTGTTTCGCGATTATGGAAAGTGTCGGATGGAAATGCGGGCGTTAAATCAGGGACCGAGTTTAACTCGTCCCTCCCTATCTCCTCGGAATTCTTTCTACGGGCTGGAGATTCAGCAAACAATGGAAGCCAGCGTCCGTAGGAGCCAAGTGTGAAGATAACGCGACGGAGAGCGAAGTTAATGCCAATACTCTGCCGATAGTCGCAGTTAATTATTGCTTATCGTCGCGTTTGACGCTCCTATGCAACGGTCTTGCATCGACCAGATTTAATTAACCCCAACATATTACGTTGCACGTAAAATTACGTGACAATCGCGCGAAACTGACAGATTGGCAAAATGCAGACGTCGAGTATGATTCTGAAAAGCGTCCTAGTAACACCGTGACAGCAGCTCGCGAATACGTCGCGAATCGAGCGTCAAAAATGGCATTAAAATTACTTATCGATCCATCTGGATCTCTATCGCGCCGCGAGTGGATTCTAATAGGGCAAGAAGAGGAAGAGCG